AATATTTACAACACAGAAATCACACAAATTAACCCTAAATATTTACAACACAGAAATAAGACACCCTAAATATTTACAACACTAACACAGCTTAACCCTAAATATTTACAACACAGAAATAACACAGCTTAACCCTAAATATTTACAACACAGAAATAACACAGCTTAACCCTAAATATTTTACACAGCTTAACCCTAAATATTTACAACACAGAAATAACACAGCTTAACCCTAAATATTTACAACACAGAAATAACACAGCTTAACCCTAAATATTTACAACACAGAAATAACACAGCTTAACCCTAAATATTTACAACACAGAAATCACACAACTGAACCCTAAATATTTACAACACAGAAATAACACAGCTTAACCCTAAATATTTACAACACAGAAATAAATATTTACAACACAGAAATTACAGCTTAACCCTAAATATTTACAACACAGAAATAAGACAGCTTAAACTTGAATATTTACAACACAGAAATAACACAGCTTAACCCTAAATATTTACAACACAGAAATAACACAGCTTAACCCTAAATATTTACAACACAGAAATAACACATATTAACCCTAAATATTTACAACACAGAAATAACACAGCTTAACCCTAAATATTTACAACACAGAAATAACACATATTAACCCTAAATATTTACAACACAGAAATAACACAGCTTAACCCTAAATATTTACAACACAGAAATAACACAGCTTAACCCTAAATATTTACAACACAGAAATCACACAACCTAAATATTTACAAACAGAAATAAGACTAAATATTTACAACACAGAAATAACACAGCTTAACCCTAAATATTTACAACACAGAAATAACACATCTTAACCCGAAATATTTACAACACAGAAATAACACAGCTTAACCCTAAATATTTACAACACAGAAATAACACAGCTTAACCCTAAATATTTACAACACAGAAATAACACAGCTTAACCCTAAATATTTACAACACAGAAATAACACAGCTTAACCCTAAATATTTACAACACAGAAATAACACAGCTTAACCCTAAATATTTACAACACAGAAATAACACAGCTTAACCCTAAATATGTACAACACAGAAATAACACAGCTGAACCCTAAATATTTACAACACAGAAATAACACAGCTTAACCCTAAATATTTACAACACAGAAATAACTTAACATTTACAACACAGAAATAACACTTAACCCTAAATATTTACAACACAGAAATAACACAGCTTAACCCTAAATATTTACAACACAGAAATATTTACTAAATATTTACAACACAGAAATTAGACAGCTTAACCCTAAATATTTACAACACAGAAATAAGACAGCTTAACCATAAATATTTACAACACAGAAATAAGACAGCTTAAACTTGAATATTTACAACACAGAAATCACACAACGTAACCCTAAATATTTACAACACAGAAATAACACAGCTTAACCCTAAATATTTACAACACAGAAATAACACAGCTTAACCCTAAATATTTACAACACAGAAATAACAGCTTAACCCTAAATATTTACAACACAGAAATAACACAGCTTAACCATAAATATTTACTACACAGAAACAACACAGCTTAAACATGAATATTTACAACACAGAAATAACACAGCTTAACCCTAAATATTTACAACACAGAAATAACACAGCTTAACCCTAAATATTTACAACACAGAAATAAGACAGCCTAACCCTGAATATTTACAACACAGAAATTAGACAGCTTAACCATAAATATTTACAACACAGAAATAAGACAGCTTAACCCTAAATATTTACAACACAGAAATAACACAGCTTAACCCTAAATATTTACAACACAGAAATAACACAGCTTAACCCTAAATATTTACAACACAGAAATAACACATATTAACCCTAAATATTTACAACACAGAAATAAACATAACCCTAAATATTTACAACACAGAAATAACACAGCTTAACCCTAAATATTTAACACAGAAATAACTAAATATTTACAACACAGAAATAACACATATTAACCCTAAATATTTACAACACAGAAATAACACAGCTTAACCCTAAATATTTACAACACAGAAATAACACAGCTTAACCCTAAATATTTACAACACAGAAATAACACAGCTTAACCCTAAATATTTACAACACAGAAATTAGACAGCTTAACCCTAAATATTTACAACACAGAAATAAGACAGCTTAACCATAAATATTTACAACACAGAAATAAGACAGCTTAACCCTAAATATTTACAACACAGAAATAACACATATTAACCCGAAATATTTACAACACAGAAATAACACAGCTTAACCCTAAATATTTACAACACAGAAATAACACATATTAACCCTAAATATTTACAACACAGAAATAACACAGCTTAACCCTAAATCCAGAACTCGGGCATGTGTTATAATTACAAATGTTGAAAAAAATGATATAATATAGGTAACTTATATTCCGATATCAAAAAGTTAAATATAAAATAGATTATCCATCCGCCGTGACACTGTGGCGAGGTTTCTTGTTTCTTCCAAAGTTACATGTGTAATAGACCCCGATAACTATGTTAATTATTGCTGATACCACAACATATTAGTATCGGTACCATTATAATTTCGCTGTTGATTGACAAAACGCACATTGTATTGTTTTCCGAAAATGCGCACGGCTGTTTAATTTTCATTAGCATATAAAATTAATATTAATCTTTGGGGTCTGTTTAAAAACTGATTTTCCACGACTTATCAGAATTTGATATACCCAGTGTTATGTTACGCTTCGAAATCAAAATGAGAAATTATTAAAATTTGAAGATCAAACACTCTACAAATTTGGGCTAATGTTTCTATTAACTGTGAAAGATCCCGACATTGTTATCTGTTGGTCAATTAATCGTTTGGTTTAATGTGTCCGCATCAGTAGGCTTGTAACAAGGTCGGATTACAACCTTTGTAGTTCCTTCCGCGAGTCGTGGGCGCGGACTGATATCTTTATGACTGTCGTTTGTGAAGATGACCAGGTCCAGTTTCTTCGGCCATTACAGCTAATATACATCCCTGTAATTAGGTCCAGCACGATCGTGTTCAGTCGGTTAGGTTTTAATGGTCTGATGGTGGGAGAAATTACAAGTAAATCGGTCTGTATTTACCGGTCAACATAGTTTGATTATACACTGACCCAACCATAAAATGACCACTACAATTGGTGTAGGTGTTAGGGTCGTGTGGTCACCACGTGGGGGTGCCTTTATCCTTGACCATCTACTAAACCTATACACAATACATATGTAATAATAATGTGTATCGTGTATTGAAATATTTTTCGTTTACTTCGTTAAAAATAGGATACAGGGATCAATTATCGATCTTAATTGTCAGTACATGTGTATGGTCAAGTTAACTATGTAACTGTGATATTTTAGTTCCGATATACATGTACATGTAAACAGTATGAAGTTGATATGTGGACTTTTGACCTGCTTATCAAAGTATATTAACAAACAACAGGCATTATAGGACTGTGGTAGATGGGCCTAATAAATGCCGACTAAATATATAATGTATTTCATAAAATGTTTATTGTTTCTCCAAATCTATATTCGTGTTTTGTTTAGCTACAAAGTTACAATTTTAAGTATAAATGCGCTGTGGAATTCTTTAATTGAATTGTTATGAATCTGCTGTTCTGTTTAATAACTTTATTACAGTATGTGTCTCCCTATTCGGATTATACCTTTCTTTGGAAAGTTCAATTTTAATTTTCTTAATCGTCTTCTGCAATGCGATTCTCACATTAATGGCCTTTAGCATCACTGACGAGTCCTACGACATCACTGTATCTAATTCTTAATTTGTATCAAACGGTGCCATTCTCATTTGTCTTTTGTACAAGTACGTGTACGTGTACGTGTGTGGCATTGAGTATGATGGGAAGTAGAAACAGGGAGAACAACATATACAAAAAACGCTGAAAAATCCTAGCTTTGTTCTCAGTCAGTTTATAACATAATATTGACTTCTAGAAATAGCTATGCATGTAATTATATATTGAGTTTTCAAATATCATGTATATTTCAAATTTGAATAAATTGCCCGAATTTTATATCAAGGGTGCGCAAAACCAATATTTCATCAAATATACCCCCACCCACCCACCAAATCGTAACCTGATACCTATATATTACGAGTGTTTACTATCCTGTGTCCAGTTAACTCTGTGGTCAGTGTGACGTAAGGTCGGAGATACATACTCCATTTAATGCTCTCTCTATCACATTACTGTTTTTATTGTGGACACTCACGCGCGTCCAGTAGTAAGACAAAACCGCAAACGACATAGATAAAATCTGACCACCCCGGTAGGGAAGACCTGACCACTCCTTTACCAACAGATCCTACTCCACTGGTCAAAAACTAGTTTCTTAATAGAAATTTGGTTCCATTTCGAGTTGTATATTACATCACCGATCCGGAAACAAATCCGCTTAAAATAAAAATATTTATTTACCAAAAGCAGTGACAAGAGGATTGGACACGAAATTACTACATCAAAACAACGCCCACTCCTTCAGTATCTACATCTTTAAAAACATGGACATAACAGGACAGCTTTTAAAATATGAAATTAAAACAAGAACAAAAAAAAAATCAGAACAAATCGTCAAAGGTCTCACAATCGATGAAGCAAAAGACGCTTACTCTTCAGGAACGCAAAGTCTGATTTTCCCCGTACTTTTCAGAGCTCTCAGTGTAAATCTCTCTTCTATTGTTACTTTGGATTTGTTTCATTGAATTTGTGTTTGAATGAAGAATCTGTTAAAATGTCGGTAATTTATTTGTTATTCAAATTTAAGATTTTTTTAGACATTTTCTTGAGATTTTTATGGTTAAATAAGCACGAGATACTCAGTAAAGAAAACTGAATGTATTTCAGCAAAATTAAAGTTATGCCCTTTGCCTATAAAAAGAACAAACCTCACAAGTCATTGTGATATTCTCTGCTGTTGGTTCAACTAGATTTAAAAACATCCAGTCTTCTTTGCTGGAAAAAAATTAATGAGTTCAATTTGTAATTATCTGTGTACGATAGCGAGGAAATCAACAACGGCATGTTTTCATTTTTGATTTGGGGCCACCAACAGTATGATAACGAACAATACCCGGATGTTCCTTGTGGCAAATGATGAATTCGCGACCTTGTCAGTCAAAACTGAAATCGAATTATAATGATAATTCTTTATTGCACTAAAATACGATTTTCGATAGTTCACATCTATATGTTTTAATTTATTAAGTCCTATTGTCATGGGTTTATAAATATCTGGTAATGTGATGCATTTCCACGGATCAATTTATGTTATAACACGTTCTACAATAACCACTTGTTGCGTGAGGCGTGCATCAAAGCCCTACATATGTAAATACAAACTTTTGAAGTGCTGAGTACAAATCGGACAGGACCGAGAATAGGGTATAGTAAGTCCTGCTTCAATCAAATACTCACCTGTACCTCTTCAATTGAGAAGTCGTAAATTTAGAGTCAAGTGCGGAAGGAATTTGATTGTGGTGCGTAGGTAGTTGATGAGTCAACGGTGAGACGACGGCCAAAAGGTTATATGGTATAATATCGATTAGTATTAGTACGCTAGTACCGTAAGCTACAAAGTGGATGCCGGTCCTGTGATCCGGATTATCAGTGTGGGAGGGTAATTATAATATAAAGTCTGAGTAAGGCGTGGTTTGAAAGACAGATACTTAACATTTGAATAATTAAATATGTAATATAAGATAAATTATCAAAATGCACATCTCGAACGTTTCTTGTTATGAATTCCCTTTCTTTAGTTTGTAATGCTGTTTGCTATAAATTATAAAACATTTTTCGCGCATTTGAACCAGTAATTGAAAGAGGCTAGGTCGGATACGTCCGATAAGTAGTAACAATAAGATAGACACTGACGTTACAGAAACAGAAAAACTTAGGCCGGATGAAGGACCGGTTATCCTTCTCTTTCTCCTCCTCTCCTTTTTCTCTTCCTCTTCTCCTCATCCTCCTGTCCTCTTCTTCATTCTCCTGCTATAACCTCATTTCCTCCGCCGTTTCTTTCTTGTTCTCTTCTTCCTCTCTCCTAATCCTTCTCCTCTTCTTTTCTCCTTTACTTCTCCTCCCTCCCCCTCCTTTCTTCCTCCACCATCTCCCCTCCTTCACCTTCTCTCCTTCTCCTTTCCTTTTTCTCCTTAACTCCTCCTCCTCCACCTCCTCTCCTTCTCCTTTCCCTTTCTCCTTTACTCCTTCTCCTTTCCTTTTCTCCTTTATTCCTCATCCTTTCCTCCTCCTCCTGCTTCTCCACCCCCTCTTCCTTTCCTTTTCTCTTTTACTCCTTCTCCACCTCCTCTCTTCCTTTCCTTTTCTCCTTTCCTCCTCCTCCTTTCCTTTTCTCCTTTACTCCTCCTCTTCTCTTCCTTTACTCCTCCTCTCTCCTTTCCTATTCTTTCAACAAGACCAGTTTATCCATTTCTGCAGCTAGTGTCGGCGATTCCGGTAACAGGGATACATCGTGATGGTGTAATACATTTTACTGTTGTTATTTACTACCAAATTCATTTAAAATCGCCATCACTGGCATTGATCTGGCGAAAAGCGACTCCGTATCCTTACACAATGATCACAATGGAGATATATCAATTATGTACATACAACTTTTTATATTGAGGCCAAGCGGTGTATAAGGTCAGTACAAATACTCTACTATTTCAACTTTGTAATTTATCGATAACATATCATCTTTGTTTTTGTTTTTTGTTTTTTGTTTGTTTTGTTTTTGTCTGACCTCGACATTTTATCATATTGCCCTTGATCTTATGTGCCTAAAGATACCAAAAGTTCAGCACCTTATTTCATTAAATGACCATAGCTGTTGATATGACGTTAAACGATTTAAAACCAAATTAACTTGCTTCACATACACCGGTAGACCGTCCTTCAATACCCCCAACAGTTGACAGAACGTCAAACAATATGATACCAAACTAATGCTTTCCCATTAAAGCGATGTTTGACTTCCTCAACATTTATTCTCTTGTAATATCATGGTGATTACTGATGTTAAGACACTCACTCCGTCATAAACTTGATCAGAATGTATTAGTTACTGTTCATCGCTACCTTAACAACACGAGTCAATTGTGAGCGGATTTTCATTGAATTAACTGGTTGCTTCTTCATAGAACAACATGCGGGAGGTCAAACACACATATTCCAAGGCAATTGAACCAAATTGTGTGTCTAAGGACAATAACACTGCAACGTTATTCAACATCATTTGACGCCAATTCAAATTGGATCAAGTTAATTTCATACCTGTTAGGACTTTGACGCCTTTTTGGGTCATGTGAGACTAAATCATTGTGAAATGAACACGTTTACTTTAAGCCTTTAACAGTGGCTATTTTAGGTAGTTATTTTGATGTCACATTCGTCTCGTGGTAGTCACGTACTGGTAGGGTTTGTCGTTCATGAATTAATTACAAAACTGATATTTGTGCACGTGCTCATGTCTCACCATTAGATAGCCAAAGCGAAATCTAAAAAAATGATGTGTTGATATTCAGTGACATCTATCAGTTTTTAACGACACACATACAGGTAAAACACATTCTAACATTATATCTGTTTTAAGTGACAGTCATATGCCTTAATTTTAACTAAATGTATAACAGATTGGTGTTTAACACATCGTATAAAATATTTCCTTGAATATCTTTACGTTTTGACTGAATGGCTGAAGTGATAGATTAGAGAGGACGAAACAAAGACATATTATTCAGACGTTTTAAATAATTTGCAATTTTGAAATATACCGTGGATAGGACGCAGGCAACAAAACAGGTCCAAAAGTAGAGAAGATAAAAGGGTAGAATTTCTCGATAGAAACCAGGGCCCGTATTCATGAAACCGTTCTCATGCTCAAGCATGAATTTTGTGCTCAAGCCTTATGTCTTGTTTAAGTTAAAGATTAATAATAAGACTGATTTTGCCAAAGATTAAAAACAAAAAATTTAAAGGACTTCAAGTCAAAGTTATATTCAATGTTTATATTTGACATTTGTATCATTTTATATGATTTAGGCGAATTATGAAAAAGTCTGATTGAGCACAAAATCTATGCTTGAGCATGAGAACGGTTTCATGAATACGGGCCCTGGTTTCTATCGAGAAATTCTACCCTTTTATCTTCTCTACTTTTGGACCTGTTTTGTTGCCTGCGTCCTATCCACGGTATATTTCAAAATTGCAAATTATTTAAAACGTCTGATTAATATGTCTTTGTTTCGTCCTATCTAATCTATCACTTCTTTTCTTCCTGATAAGAAATTCCAAAAGAATTAATCGCTTTCTACTTCAACGCTTAACACTGTGTTGTAAACTAAGGTTAATGATGACCAGGGTAAAACCAGCAAAGTCCACGAGGCACAACATTTCGGACAATGGTTCGCTTAGATATAATCATACTGTACAGTCGGCATTTGCATAAGAAGCCCGGATGTTGACGTTAATGACTGATAGTTCATCGGTTTCTAAAATCCAAAATCAATTTATAGATTTGTCACACTTTGCGTCAGAAGTAAATTTCAATGACAACAGCTACAGGATATACAATTCTTGTTTAAGACAATATGAAATGTAGTTAATGAAACATTGTAACATATTTGCTCGTGTTTATTGTGGTACATATTATAAAAACAATTTTAAATCCATTTGGTTCTAAAACCAAAATATTTCAATGTTGAGAAAATATATTCATGCAGACAAAACTACAGTTGCACAGCTCACTTTCCAATTCCTACCAGTGTTCGTTAAACACCTTTTAGAAAAGACGTAGTACAGAAGCGCGACATTTGGGAAAGCATTTGAATAATTGGTGTGGTGTGCATACAGTGACGGCAGGAAGGAGAAATCAGTGTGAAATTACTTATACAGTTGCTACCTCTGAAGTCGGGCGATATGTGTTTGTGTCCCGAGAGATTTATGCCCACCTTTGACCCCCGCTCGCTACTCGAGAAGGTAAACTCGAAATCTAATTTGCGACGTCTACCTTGAGATCGTTTTGCTTGAATTGAAAGTCAATAACGACGCCATATTTTAATGTGCCTGGCTACAGGTTAGCTAATTAAAGTGATTGACTGAATAACATTAGGGCGACATTTTGTGTATTTGATTTCTCTGATAAACACTTTGTACAACAAACAAAATATCGATGCTAAGAACAAAATAAGAAAACATCAACAACGCTACTGGACGAGCTAGCAAGGACAGGCATTAGCAAGGACAGACACTTACAAGGACAGACACTAGCAAGGACAGACACTTACAAGGACAGACACTAGCAAGGACAGACACTTACAAGGACAGACACTTATAAGGACAGAGACTAGTAAGGACAGACACTAGCAAGGACAGACACTTACAAGAACAGACACTAGTAAGGACAGATAATAGCAAGGACAGAAACTTACTTATAATATAACAATATACAATTTTGTATTAACCAAAAGACCACATGTATGATTAGAATGTATGCTTTACTAATGTAAATAACATAAAATATAATACGCCCATATAGACGGCGCCACTGTACTCAAATGACCAGCACCTGAACATAGTGGCGCCATCCTTTGAGTCTGAAAAGAAAGTCTCGTTCGGTAGGCGAGAACATAGAAAGGTATTTAACACGTCATCAAAACCAGGCAGCGATTTTAGCATGTCATATCTCTTTCATGTACAAACCACCCAGAAGGATTACGTGTGTATCATACACAGCAAAATAAACACAATATACCCTTGTATCTGTGTGAAACATACACATTAACTCCTAATAAATTATCTTCAGACAATTTTGTTACAACTTGTTATTCTTCCTCACGTTTTGAAATACGATACATTTGTATATAAGGTACACTGAATTTTCAATGGGAGCCATGTGCACTTTGTCAAAGCTTTGTTTGCAAGAAAGAAAGATCTTGGTATTCAAAATGCTTTTTACTTGTGTCTAACCAACAATAAAGAAACTTAAAAGTTACTATGTTTTTTATGAAGAGTAGATCTCCGATTTGACAATGCTCAGCGAACCACATAACCGTGAATCACGTGTGTACAAATTCATTTGTCAATTCTTAATTCGAACGATGTTGGGTGCATGTAAAGGACTTAGCCTTACTACGTAGCCAGTAGTCTTCTGGGTGTTTGAGTATCTGTATGCACTACAAGGACAATAACTATTGGTGTCCAAAATGTCATCTTGTTCTGGGTGTTTGGGTATCAAAATGTCAGTCACTTTGTTCTGGGTGTTTGGGTATCCAAATGTCAGTCACTTTGTTCTGGGTGTTTGGGTATCAAAATGTCCGTCACTTTGTTCTGGGTGTTTGGGTATCAAAATGTCAGTCACATTGTTCTGTGTGTTTGGGTATCAAAATGTCCGTCACCTTGTTCTGGGTGTTTGGGTATCAAAATGTCAGTCATCTTGTTCTGGGTGTTTAGGTATCAAAATGTCAGTCACCTTGTTCTGGGTGTTTGGGTATACAGAGGTACTCGGTGCTCGGGAGATAAGTACACAGATGAACTAGATGATCGGGAGATTCGATATACAGAGGTACTCGGTAATCGGGAGATCGGGAGGTACAGTATACAGAGGCACTCGGTAATCGGGAGGTATTATAAACAGAGGTACTCGGTGGTCGGGAGATACAGTATACAGAGGTACTCGGTAATCGGGAGGTACAGTATACAGAGGTACTCGGTAATCGGGAGGTACAGTATACAGAGGTACTTGATGATCGGGAGGTACAGTATACAGAGGTAATCGGTAAGCGGGAGGTACAGTACACAGAGGTACTCGGTAATCGGGAGGTACAGTATACAGAGGTACTCGGTGATCGGGAGATCGGGAGGTACAGTATACAGAGGTAATCGGGAGGTATAGTATACAGAGGTAATCGGGAGGTATAGTATACAAAGGTACTCGGTGGTCGGGAGGTACAGTATACAGAGGTACTCGGTGATCGGGAGGTACAGTATACAGAAGTACTCGGTGATCGGGAAGGGCAGTATACAGAGGTACTCGGTGGTCGGGAGGTACAGTATACAGAGGTACTCGGTGATCGAGAAGTGCAGTATACAGAGGTACTCGGTGATCGGGAAGTGCAGTATACAGAGGTAATCGGTGGTCGGGAAGTACAGTATACAGAGGTACTCAGCAATCGGAAGGTACAGTATATTGAGGTACTCGGTGATCGGTAGATCGGGAGGTACAGTATACAGAGGTAC